GTGGGAGTGTAAATTAGTTCAACCATTGTGGAAGACAGTGTGGCGATTCCTCAAGGATCTAGAACTAGAAATACCATTTGACCCAGCAATTCCATTATTGGATATATACCCAAAGGATTTTAAATCATTCTACTATAAAACACATACACATATATGTTTATTACAGCACTATTCACAATAGCAAAGACTTGGTGCCAACCCAAATTCCCATCAATGATAGACTGGATAAACAAAATGTGGCATATACACCATGGAATACTATGCAGCCATATAAAAGAATGAGTTCATGTCCTTTGCGGGGACATGGATGAAGCTGGAAACCACAATTCTCAGCAAACTAACACAAGAACAGAAAGCCAAACACTGCATGTTCTCACTCATAAGTGGGAGTTGAACAATGAGAACACATGGGCACAGAGAGGGGAACATCACACACCAGGGCCTGTTGGGGGTGGGGGGCAAGGGGAGGTATAACATTAGGAGAAATACCTAATGTAGATGATGAGTTGATGGGTGCAGCAAACCACCATGGCACATGTATACCTATGTTAACAAACCTGCACGTTGTGCACAGGTATCCCAGAACTTAAAATATAATAAAAAATAATAATCATTATTATATAACCTGATATTAGTCCCAGTGTACTTCATTTCATCCTGTTATTTAGTCATATTAAATGTCTTCTTTTTTTTTAAAGTAAAAGATGGTATAACTGCATATTCTTTCATGTTCAAGTTAATGAACCGCCCCCCTTCAAAATCCACTGGAATACTAAAAGTATATTACACGTAATCCCCAGTATTTAATTTGGTAAGTAACATATATTCACCAGGCTTGAAAGATGCTCCAATGTAAATAATAAGTATAAATAATATTTCTCATTATAGTTTTTTTATAGTTATGGGGAAAATAAAATAATATTACAATACCATTTCGTGAAGCAGTTGATAGGTTTTCGTGGAAAACCCATATGTAATATGGAAGTATGAGTATTATCCATCATACTTGGTGCAGGGCTCTAAACGGAAATGTGGTTCAGCTTTGTCAAATAAATAGTAAAGAGCAAATTGCACCTACTCAGTTGACAATGCCAACTTCAGCTTCAACACTCAGCAACCCATCTGTGTGCCATTCAGATTAGTGACAGACATTCAAATTCTGACAGATATTAAAGTGAAACTTTAAAATATCCAGCAAATGAAATGAAATGAAAAGGCATCAGGTTGGGCAATGGAGTACAAGAACCCATTCAGTAATTAGCTCTTTCTGTCAGCAACTCTGAGCACTTCCCAAGAGCCAGGCATTGAGCTAGGAGTTGCAGAGATAAAGTTTTTGTACCTGAGGGGCTCTTGAAATACCACCAGACAAATCGCTCTTATGATGGTGTGCCAGCAGTGAGCTTGACCAAAGGCACCTGCCCAGTGGAAGAGCATCAGTCTGACCAGCCACTGTTTCTGTTCTTTGAAAAAGTGGCCACAAGTTTTCTGAAGAATCGAGTCATGGGAGTATAACTGCTGCCATGTGACATGGTATTTT